TTTCATTTCAGCCCAGCGCGGCCCAAAACGCGCTGAAAACGGCTCGGCCCGGCTTGCCTCGCGCGCACAGGCCGCACCCAGGCCGCAACCTGGGCCTGGGCCGGCAAAACGCCGCGCGCGCTCGCGCCCGCCTGGGCCGGCGAGTTGGCCCAGTGAATCGCGGCCGTTCGTCTCGATCCGACGGCCGAGCGGCCGTTTCGCGCAGATCAAAAAGCTCGCTGCGGCCGGCGCCCTGGAAAACCCTAGCCATTTGGCTCTTCCCCTCTCTCTCTCCTCGCTACTTTTCTCTTCTCAGACGCAGCGGAGACAGCCGCCACCGAGCAGCCGCGAGCGAGGAAAAGCAGAGCGGGCGGCCATGGCGATCCTTGGCGCCGTCGCCGGCCCCCTCGCCGGCGCGCGTGCTCCCCAACGGGTGAGCACGCCGCCGTCGAGCAGCCTGGCCGCGGCGCTTCCTTGGCCGAGCCCAGCGAGCCCGCGCCCCGGCTCGGCTTCTTCTCCGACGCTGGCGAAAAAAAAATGGTTCGGTTCTTCATCTTCCGCGCCGGTGAAAGTTCATCCGACGCACCCTAACCCTACCCCTTCTTTCCCCTTTCTATCTTTGAGTTGTTCTTTTCGGGTTTATCCGAATGGGGGAAAAATGGGATTAGGGTTAGGGTTTGACCCTTCTTGTTTCTTTCGGATTTGCGTCTAGTGTTCTCGGAATCCGACCCTCCCTTTTCCCCTTCTTCAATCCCTTGTTCAGTTTTGATTTTGGGAATTAGGGTTAGGTCTTAGGGTTCGGTTTTCTACTTTCTTTCCCGATCCGCATCAGATCGGTCGGTTTTACTTAGCCGATCTGATTTCTTGTCGAACATGGCTCTGGTACCATTGTTAGATTTGGTACTTCCCGTCGCTGGCAGCGCCCCTACTTTCGATCGGGTCTAGGGTTTGGATGTCGGTGGGGTGACTGGCGGCGCGGTGAACCTCGTACTGCGAGCCCCGGCCCCCACCTTTCCTTTATAGCGCTGTGCGACGGGGGCCCACCAACCATGTAGGGTTGGGCGCCCCCGATCAGGGCGCGAGGACAAGGCCCAGTTAGGCCGTTGGGCCTAACTGGTGGGAGATCAATCCTAACAATCCATAGCCTTAAAACTTCTCCAACCCGTATATATATCAATTAGGGCATGATCTAGAAAGAGGATTCCAACAGGAACCAATGCGAGCTCAGGAAGATCGACTTCCCTGATCACAACAGAAATCGCACAATGATTCAAATTAATTCAAATTAATAAACCACATCTAGGTTTCTCGATCAAAGGGGAATAACTCCACGATATAATTCTAATCTCCCTGGATACATGGGCGTCAGCCCCTTTATTTGTTGATGCACGCACAGGCACCAAGACTCCACTTTAAACTTGACAATGCTATTGGAACCTGGTTCGGCCAAGATTTAAAAAAAAAAGAACCTGGTTCGGCCAAAACTGAACGGTAGAGTCTTACCGCCTGGTGCAAGCGGTAGAGTCTTACCGCATGTGACCGGAAGGTCCCGGGTTTGAGTCGCGATCTTCTCGCATTGCACAGGCGAGGGTAAGGCTTGCCACTGACACCCTTCCCCAGACCCCGCACAGAGCGGGGGCTCTCTGCACTGGGTACGCCCTTTAACCTGGTTCGGCCAAAACTGAACGGCTCAAAGAGACTCAATCTGCCTACCACTAACCATGAAAAAAAATCTGACTACCACTAACCATGAACAATATAATATAATAATGCGGCAACATTGCTAGACGCCTTACTAATTAACTAGTAACCATGTACGTACGGCACCATATATAACAAAAATAATATAAAAAATTCATCTATATAGAGGAATAATATTGAATTTGAAAGTTAAATTCCTAAAAATTTTCCCTAATTTATGCACATAATTGATGATGGTACAACAAATACAGCCACAATTTGCGTCCAAAACACAAATCACCTCAATGATTTGTCCCATTATGCATTAAAAATATAGATGCATTGAAAATATTCTTGTTTAGACATGAGAACCACCCAAACAATGTCTCAAGTTCTTTGTGTGGAAACATGCATCAATGATTTATCCCATTATAGTACTCAATTTTCTTAAGTACCCCTCTAGGCACTTCAAAAAAGAGAGCATAAACATCAGTAAACTGGACCGAACAGAATTGATCAACACTAGACGTGTCCCCCCATAGATAACATTTTTTCTTTTCAACTAGACAACCTCTTTGCAATTCTTTCCTCAACTTTTCTGTAATGCAATGGCAGCCCGAGGTATCAGAAGGGATATGTATCCACTTTGCAGCCAAATAAATGTGAATATTGCAATTCACATTCTTTTGCTTTCCCAAACAAGAAAATTTCGCTCTACATATTGCAGAATCAAGAGACCATCTTAGACCAAATGTGGAACAACCTCTTTGGCTTGTCCATTTTCTTTGGCCCTAGCAATGGTAGCGCCTAACATGTCCACCACAATATTAAATAAAGTCAGGGATAGAGGGTCACCTTGCCTTAGTTTTTTTTTTTTGTTTGGAAACACAAGCCAACTTGATCATTTCCTTTTACACCTACATTTACCTCCTTGAACAAAAGTTCGTATCCAGCTACACCATGTTTGACTAAAACTTTTCATTCTTAAAGTTTGTTGGAGAAAATCCCACTTAACTTTATCATAAGCCTTCTCAAAATCAATCTTAAAAATTAAACCATCTTGTTTTTTCTCATGCAACTTATATATCGTTTCGTGTAGAATGATGGAACCTTCCATAATATTTCTACCCGGAAGAAAAGCTGTTTGCGAGGGTCTAATTGTCTTTTGTGCAACTAAAGCAATTGGATTAGTAGCTACTTTGGTAAAATTTTTGACACTCACATTAAGCAAATAGATTGGCCTGTATTGTTGTATTTGCTTTGCCTCATTAGTTTTGGGCAGCAAAATGATGTTCCAAAATTCAAACTATGTAGAGGGAGACAACCCTTGTGAAGCTCAGAGTTAGTGCTAGTTTTTGTTGTTTTCCCGAGAACATGTCAAGAAAGAGTCAGAGTTTGTTTTCAAGATTGGAGGCGCCGATCGCAGTCATAATCAGGACTATGCATGATCTCGACATCCAAATTACAAGTCTGACTTAAGAAAAAGGAGAACGCAACACTGGAAAAAAAATACAAACTGCATGGTCTCGACAGCCAAATTGCAAGTCTGACTTAAGAAAAAGGAGAATGCAACACTGGAAAAAAATACAAACCAGGCAAAGTTTTGGCACACGACCGTTCATATGTTAGAGTTTGAAAACCTATCCATGAGGAGGAGGCACGCGGCCGCCTCCGACCAGAACACCAATTCCAATCCTTCTCTAAACCGGATCGCAAACGACGTGTACATACCTACATGAACAATGCTATGGTACTTCTACTTGTTAGAAGATAATAGCACATTGGTTGCTGGCTTGTGTGGTCTTCAATAGCTTGCTCCATCGTTCTCTAGATCACTAGAGTGCTCCGTCTCATCTTATGCCGGGTTGCGGGACCATGATCACCTCACTTGGATTTCCTAGTTCTCCTATCGATGGCCCTGCCTCATTTGAGGCTAGCTTCCTCCCCCCAAAGGGCGTATGTGGGCGTCAGTTGGATCCCGGATGCTCCTCATAGGTGTTGCAACTCTCCATTGTCGTCTGTTGATTCTAACTCAGTGCCTTACAGCTGCATGGTTGTTGTCTGTCAGACTCGACTCAATCCTTTACAGCTACTTGTGGAATAGGGCTCTTCGGCGTCTGCCATCCAATGGTGGCACCAGTCAGGAACTTAGTGCTTGTACTTGTTTTGGGTAGTAGGTTAGTTACACCTGACTATTAAGGGTCATCCTTATAAGGTGTTTTGGACCCTCCATCACCGGCTTCGCCGCAATCCGTGTAAAATTATTTAGGTGGGGACTATCGTCCCCCTGGTGACCTCTCAAAAAAGAAGATAATATCACAAATAAAACTAAGCCGTTAATTTTAAGATTTTTTAATTAACTTGTAGGAAAAGAAAAAATATATATTAACAAATCTTTCCCACCCCGTCACGGACTCATCCACTCTCAAGATGACGATAGACAAATCTCCCTCGTCACTGCCATAAGCCAGCGGGGCGGCCCCTGCCTTTTCGCATGCGACCGAGAGGGCCGGGGGCGGCGACCGGCGAGCGGACTCCAGCAACTCACGGCAGGACACCAGTCGTCAGATTTTTTTTATATCTAATATAAGACTTTCTTTATTTACCGTATTTTACAAAATAAAAAATAAAATAAAATAAAATATATTTCATCAATTATCTCCTGAAAAAAATAACCACCGATCAAAATAAATGAAGGGTCCACGATTATTTGCCTACGTTATACTCCCTTCATCTCAAATTGTAAGTCATTCCAAGAATCTTGGAGAGTCAAAGTTTTTCAAGTTTGACCAAATTTATATAACAAAATAATAATATTTATCATACCAAGTAAGTATCATTAGATTCTTCATTAGTTATATTTTCACATTATAGATGTCATTAATCTTTGTGTTTCTCTCTATAATTTTAGTCAAACTTGAAAAAGTTTGACTCTCCAAGATTCTTGGAATGACTTACAATTTGGGATGGAGGGAGTATAATATACGCGAGGGAGCTGTACGTACCAAACAGCAGGGAGTATCATCAAAGCCTAGTCGTCTTTTCGGCGGCAAGACAGATCCGATCGAGCGCGCGCAAGATGAGCTCGGGCGCTCGGGACCGGACGGCGGCGGAGGAGCTCGCCGAGATTAAATACAAGCTGGGTTTTGACCACGCGATCCGGCGTTGTGAGCACGAGGAACTGCTGGCGTGGCAGCGGGGACAGCAGGCGTGGCAGCGGGAGTGCGACCGGAAGCTCCAGCGTGTGGAGGCGATCGCAATATTTGGTGCTTGCATGGGGGTTTGCGGTTTACTTGCGACTGCATTCCTCTAGTGTGCGTCTTTATTTCAGTAACTAAATCTTATTCTAGTGCGTCTTTAGAGCAACTCCAGCCCAGCATGCAAATTGAGCCTCTATTTTTTTCATTTGCATGCTGGCCTGCAAAAAATAGGGACCCAAATTTGCTTCCAACTCCAGCCCAACACCCTATTCCAGCCCAAGAACGCCCCGCACACGCGCCCCGCCTGATCCACGCCACCGACGGCGAGCCGAAGCCCCTGGACCGCACGAAGCCGCCTCGACGTCGACCGCCGGAACCACCTCGCCGCGCGACGCCCTCGCGCTGCGCCGTCCCGGCCGCGTCCCAGCTCGCCGTGAACCGCGACCCGGACGACATCTTCACGAGCCCTAGTGAGCAACCCCCTGCCCAAGGCCCTTCCTTTCCTCTGTGTTGGACCTCCCATGCCTGTCCTGGCCTTCGCGTATCGATGCCCCTGTCCCGGCCTGTCCCGGCCTTCGCATTTTCACTACCATGAGCAACTTCAGTGCTTAGCTCTCTCTGTGCAGCAGCAGCCTCTTCCAGCTGTGCATCTTCATCATTTCCTAAAGGGCCAGTGCTTGGAGCCACCTTTTCGTCTTGGCTGAGTAGCTCGCTAGATACGTCTACCATGGCCTCAGCAGATGGAGGCAGTTGCTGTTCTGTGTCAGCTTCATCAGTCTTTGCATTTTCAGCACGAGGAGCAGATTCCTCATTTACTGGTCCTTGAGCAGAAGCTTCATTTTCCGTTTTCACATTTTCATTATTCCCCAAAGGGTCACTGCTTGGAGCCTCCTCCACCCCTGGCTGGGCTGCTCACTACACAATATCATGGCCTCCTCACCAGAGGAAGGGGCCAATTGCAGTTCAGTGTAAGATTCACCACCATGAGACTGAGCATCTTTGCATACTTCACCAGATGCACGAGACTCAGTATCTTTGTTTACTTCGCTGATGGTAGAAGTAGTGTTAGTTTCTATGCTACCCCCTTGACTAGGAACAACAGTTTCTTGAACAGGCTCCGATTCCACAACAGTTTCAGATGAAACAACAATGTCACCCTCTGCTGCACATTCATCCCCTGTACTAGTTGCCAGTTCCACTTGCATAACAGAAGTTTCATCAATTGCCTTGGGTTCTGCAATGTGCTCAGATTGGGAAGCAAACATTGGTTCAACCATCAACGCAGCAGTTGTAGGAGAATCATTCTACCAATCTATGTTCTCTGGGAGGGTAGAGGTGGTTTGAGTAGGCAGAGTTTCTTGGCGGTCAACACCAGCAGTTGTGTAACTGATTGCTCCATGTTTGTTCTTGTTGCACTAAGGTGGAAGATGAGATGTCGAAATCAAAAGATTACACTTTTTATAGGTAGAAGAAAGCAATAGCAATACAAACTTTTCTGTTAACTTTTTCCCTTTTTTTGTTGCTATGGCAGATGTCAAGGTTTGGAACTAGAGCTCGTCGAGGGTGGGATGAAGAGGATGAATCTGATGATGACGACCTCTTCATCATTGCTGGTCTTCTTGAGGGCTCGAGGAGAAACAAGCGCAAGAAAAAGTTTCGTGGATCGTTGCCGGGTCGCCGCAAAGTGCCACGGAACATTTCTGAAGGTCACAATCGCATCTACCTAGACTACTTCGCGGACCAGTGTGTATACAGTGAGAAACATTTCAGAAGGAGGTTTCGGATGTCCAGGTCGCTCTTTCTGCGGATAGTGGATGCAGTGGAGTCTCATGATGACTATTTCCGTCAGAAGCCCGATGCCATCGGAACTCTTGGCGCCTCTCCCATACAGAAGGTTGTTGCCGCCATTCGGATGCTTGCCTACGGTATTTCGGCCGACTTTTTGGATGAGTATGTGAGGATGGGAGAGAGCACAATCATTGAGTGTCTGAAACATTTTGTGAAGGCTGTCGTCGAGGTCTTTGGTGAAGAATACTTGAGGGCCCCCAATGCCCAGGACACAGCCAGGCTGTTGGCAATTAATAGTGCAAGAGGGTTCCCAGGAATGCTTGGTTCCGTTGATTGCATGCATTGGAAATGGGACAAGTGCCCAGTAGGTTGGAAAGGAGCATACGAAGGGAAAGAAGATGGGCCGACCATGATCCTTGAGGCCGTTGCATCACAAGATCTATGGATCTGGCATGCATTCTTCGGCCTTCCAGGTTCTCTAAATGATATCAACGTTTTGCGCCGCTCTCCACTCTTCCAAAGTCTGACCTCTGGGACGGCGCCACAAGTGGAATACATGGTCAATGGAAACAAGTACACAATGGGGTACTATCTTGCTGATGGGATATACCCAGCCTGGGCAACGTTTGTCAAAGCTTTTCAACATCCACAGGGCAACAAGAAGATCCACTTCACAATGGCACAAGAAGCAGCGAGGAAAGATGTGGAAAGAGCGTTTGGGGTGCTCCAAACTCCAAAGTGCAAAGCACACTGGCCTTACAGAGAAGGTGAACTACAGCCCCTGCAGAAGTGCAAAGTAGGAACCATCTTCTTTGTTTACTTGCTTATTTCAAACAATCTCTCAAATACATGCTTAAATATGCATGCTCCGATAGGATGAACATCTTTTTAATACTCTGAAACCTCTCTTAATTTGAGCAATATGTTCTACAGATCTTTGCCACCTTCAGCAGCCTCATTTTTGCAGACAGAAGAAACAATCAACACATTAAATATGCATTGGCATTCTCAGAATATGGGCACTTCATCAAGCTGACATTCAGTCTGTACTAGGCATCCTGGCACAATGTTTCAACGTTCAGGAGCTAAGAGCACACCCCACTCTCACCAAACTTAAGTTCACATAAACTTAAGTTCACATAAACTTAAGAAATGACCACTAGCACTCCACTCTCACCAAACCTACACTCCACTCTCACCACTAGCAGTCTCGCCTACACTAGCACTCATCGCCTTCGCAATCTTCGCTCTCTTGGCCAACACATATGCCCTTTGATCATCGTCCATGGTGGTCACATCACAAAACATAATTTTCTGTTCCTGCTCCCACTGCAGCCGCTGCTCCTCCATCTCAATCCTGACGATGCTCAAGCATCATATCCTTCTCCCACCTTTCTTTCTTCATCTTATGTTCCTCGGTCTTCATTACCATCAAGTTTTGCATCATATCCTTGTACTCGTCATCTCCTTCATTCTTTTTCAGCTTCTCTTTGGATTGCTTTCTACCCGGAGGTCGGGCTTTCTTGGCAGAAGGGACTGAGGAGCTCTCTTGGCCTTGGGCGGTTGACTCATCGTCTTGTTCACTTCCTACTGGGAGGTTGAGCTCTCTGGACTTGGCTGGCCTCTTGTTGCCTTCAAGTGTCGATTCGAACTTCTGAGTATGCCTCAACGTGAGCCAGCAATGTTCGAATTGACAATTTTTGCCCTTCGCTTTTCTGGCATACCTTGCTTGGGCTTCAAGCAGCTGCATCAAAGATCAAGTGCATGATTAGATATATAGCAATGTCAAGATATATAGCAATGACAAGGTATGGGATGAACCAATTACATGCTCTTTGTATGGAATGCCGCTTGGATGACGACGCTCGACCTCCTCGTAGTAGCCTTGGAATTTCATGCACTCCTTTAGTATGATCCCAAAGCGATGCTCGAGTGAATTGGGAGTCCTATCGGACTCAAAGTCCCTGTTGCTGTGGAAATCATTTCCGATCCTCTCCCAATAAGTTTTCCCTGGCTGGTTATTCCCTATGATAGGGTCATTGCTGATATGAATCCAAGATTTGCAAAGTTGGATATCCTCAAGATTAGTGTAGTTGCTGCCTTGCTTGGATGATCCTTTGCCGCCAGTACTTGGAGTGGCATCCTGCTGCCTCAGCACTTCCAAATCATCATCCGCTTCCTGTGTCAATATGGTTGTGAAATATCATCTTCCTCTTCCTGCTGCACTTGAAGCCCTTGGTTCCCGCAAAAAACATAAACTCCAGATTGTCAGTTCAGTCCCATGCAATGTAATGCAACAAAAGCAATGCAATATACTGTGCTGCTGTGAGCCTGTGACAGTGAGCTCCATCCATCCAGTCCTCAACTCTAACGAACGCATTTTTCTCTGATGGATGATGCCACAAACGTGGTGACCATGGTGGACGAGTGTTTCCTGATCTGGTCTCCCTATCAACATAATATTAAATTTTTGCTCATTTCATTTGATGATATAACCAAAACCAAAAGGTACTCTACCAGAGTTGACAGAATTGATGATACGGACCGGCTTGTGTTTGCATTGCAATTTGCACTTGCCATGTTTGATGATATAACAACAGTCACATGGCATTCTGGCTAGACAGCTAAACACCAGGCAGTTAACAAACATGCTACAATTGTACTATATGTTCTCATCGTGGCCCAAATTGCAAACAAGTGAGCACACCTCAGCCCTTCAGAAGCTCAAGTATAACACAGCTCAGAACCAAAACAAAAGCAAAATAATGGCTGCCTGATCTGAACAGGCACATGACTGAGCTCAATGTGGAACAAGCAAAAATAGGTGAGTGACCAGCAAGAAAGGCCAAGTATCTTCTGCAATGTCTATACTAGATTTCTTTTGTATTGTACTTGTATAATGTTACAGTTGCACTTATAGAAGACAGAGACTTTACTATACTTATACTACCAGCACATACTTATAAGATTGTGTTACAGTTGCAGCTCACAAGCTCAGAAGCTCTAGTATAATTGTGTTACAGTATCTTATAAAAATCACAATCATACTTATACTACCAGCACAATCTTATAGTAAAGTATAAGATTCTTATAGTAAAGTATAAGATTGTGTCAATTATAAGATTCTTATAGCTCTAGTATAATTTTAGAATCAACTGTAACACAATCTTATAAAAATCTTATAGTAAAGTATGATTGTGTTACACAATCTTATAGCTCACAGGCTCAGAAGCTCTAGTAACACAATCTTATAGAAAGTAATAGCACATACAAAAAAGATCAGAGAACATATGATTGTTATTGCCATAGCACATGCACATAGCTTATCTAAAATGTTTACCAATGAGCTCTTAACATTAGCACAACTCACCGAGTAGTCATCAGGCGTCCAATGGTTGGGGCTGAAGTCGCCGGCAACCTCATAGACGTGTGCTGGTGATGTTGTGGTGCTGCCGGCGTCCCAGGTGGCGGTGTGAGGCTCCGTGAAGGTCAACGCGTGAGGACCGAGTCGAGGCTGCTCGTTGGGGAGCCGAGGAGGTAAGCCGCTGCTGCCGCCGCCGGGAGAAGGACGTTCTTGGGACGAATGCGGCGTCGGACGGGGATGCGGCGCGACGAATGGGCGACGTCGCGTGGGAGCCATCGTCGGACGGGGAGGCAGCCCGCCTCCGGAGAAGCCACGGGACGCGTCGCCGTCCATGGGAGAGGAACCGGCAGCGTGGTGGGCGTCTTGCTGGTTGCGCTGCTGCTGGTCGTCGGCGTGGTGGGCGTGGAGAGGAGGAAGAAGAGGGGCGGGCGTGGGGATGGAGGTCGGGAACGCAAGCGGGGATGGAGAGGAGGAACAAGGACGAGGATGGAGAGGCGGGGATGGAGAGGAGAGGCGGGGATGGAGAGGAGGAACAAGGACGAGGACGCGGACGCAGCGGTCGTCGCCGGACCGGCGGGACGAGGAGGAAGAAGAGGGGCGGCGGGAACCGGCGGGACGACGCGGAGGCAGGCGAGGACGCGAAGGAGGGCGGATCCGCGAGCTCCGCGGCCGCGATGGAGTCCAGGCGGCTCGCCGGACCGGACCTCGCCGGATCCCGCAGACGGCGGGCGCGGGCGGGTGGCGGCGGTGTGGCAGTCGGGTGTCGTCAGCGTGGGGGAATAGGAGGCCCTGGTTCCTGGGGCCTTCAACTAAATTTTGGAAGGTCTCCTAAAATGGGAGTCCAAATAGGAGGCCCATTGGAGTAGTTTTTTTTTTTTTTGCTTGAGCTCCTAAAAATAAAATAGGGGCCTGTTTAGGGACTCCACTGGAGTTGCTCTTAGTCAGTTAGTCACCCCAACTATCAAGGCGAGCATGGGTCTGCTAATTATCACCGCTTCTTCCCCATCCACGTCTGATGAACGCGCATGCAGGATTTGAACGAATGGGCCGTTGTTGACACTGACTTTGACCGGCTGTGTCCCTATCAACAAAAGAAAGTATAACTCAGTTGCATGAGGCCTGCAGCCGGCCAAGTCACCAGTAGTCAGTAGCCACCAGGGGGTCTCCGAGTCTCCACTGTACACGGAAACGATTACCAAACCTATCCCGCAGGAAACCAAACAATATTTGTTGTTTACAGTTGCATAATATGGTCACGACTGCAGAGATTAATAACATGTCAGTTATTTCGCTTGAACTTATCAGTCTGGCTTACAAATTATGGTACAGTGTTTTTCTCTCACAACGAAACAGCATCAGCTGGTTTATCAGCCACAAAAATCATTAGCCCAACAGCTCCATGTGGAACCGTGTTTTGCACGGCATCGATCAACATATCAGTCAACAATGAGGACTTGAAGACGAACATGCCATTCGGCAATGCCTTTGGCCGTTTCATTTGTACAAAGCTTGCCGTCCGCTTACTAGTGTACTATGTCACCACGGTCCAGACAGATTACCCATACAGCAAACCGCAAACCAGTCTCTCTACTGAATCCCTCTCCAAATGCTGCTGTCATCATTTTCTCCAGGGACAGTGATCTCAGAGTTGCAGGCTTGCAGCTTGCAGCTTGCAGCTTGCATGAGAGTATAGCTGCTCTAGGCTTTATCCTCTTCGTCCTCACCAGTCACCAGCACATCTCTAGCTCTTCAAACCTGCAGTGCATCATCAGTCGGCTCGCATGGCCTTACTACACCCTGGGCAAACTTATCCACCGTTTGGAAAAAGCAGAGTACCCATACCCATACCTAAGCGGACCACGCGGTGGTTACAAGCATGTTGCTGACCCTTGGCTCCTCCGACCCCTCGCAGTCCCAGGCAGCAGCGGCATGTCCTTCGGCGCTGGATTCTACTGCGTTTCCCCATGCAACACCTTCATCTTTGGGGTCTGCGCCATTTCCACAGGAAGCAGACTTCCGATGGCTCGTACAGAGACGCCGTGCAGGTTGTCTTCTGGTCTGCAAACCGTGACCGCCAGGTCCGACGGAATGCGACCCTCAGCTTCACAGGCGACGGTGATCTGATTCTTCAGGATGCTGATGGCAGCTTCGTCTGGTTCAGCAACACGGCAGGCCGGTTTGTCGTGGGGGTGAACATGACGGAGTTTCCCGCTCCTCTCAGCGTCGTTCGGAAGAACGTGTAAAAAACGCATGTCGCATGTGTACGAAGTGTTTCAGATGTTTAAGTACGTTACAAGCGTTTTATGTGGACGTTAGACCGAGATGTTGCTTATGTTGCAATGGTTGTACACAGATGTTGCAAGTTTCTGTTCCCAATGTTTTATATGTTTTTTCAGACGCATGTTGCAAGTGTGTTTATCCAGATGTTGCATACATTTCACGCATATGTTGCAATTGTTTTATCTGAATATTCCGTATATTTACAATGGTTTCAAGTGTTTTTAGGTGCATTTTTAAGTGTTTCAGATGCATGTTTCAAGTGTTTTATTTGTCTTCAGACGTATGTAGTAAGTATTGCATCTGAATGTTTCAAAAGTAAATCAGGTGTTGCACATGTTGCAATGTGCGTGAGAAGCAGAGGGGGCGCGAGCGGTCCCTGCACTCGGTCTGGCGGCGCCAGCGGCGTCTGAGCGATGCAGGCCCCGCGTGGGCGCGCGAAACACAAGCATGGGCAGGGGTGCGCTGACGCAAGCGCAGGCGTGGAGCACAGACGCACAGGAAACAGAGTGCATAGCACTCCGTGTTCCAAATGTCAGGTTGGACGGAGACTCTCAGTGGGAAAAAATTGGGTGCAGACCTCCTGCACCGTGCTTCCGTGTAGATCCACCTTGGATGAAAGCCGCGTGTCCCAAAAAGCCCATCACACGGCCAGGAGTGGTAGAGTTTTCAGTTGTCAAGAGGCCCACCGAAATTGGCCCACCGAAGTTGGCTCATCCTGACCGTGTGATGGATTTTTGGGACACGTAGCTTCCATCCAAGGTGGGTCTGCACGGAAGCACGGTGTCTGCACCTAATTTTTTTCTCTCACGGTGGCTACTTTTGAATTAATCGTCACCATCCGGTAAAATATATACTGGGCAAAATGAAATTTATGAACTGTAGTATCTTAGAAAAACTTTAATCTTTTTACTGATACATTGTGCCTAAGTTGTTTATACCTACTTTTAGGAACACGATACATGATAATTTATGTTTCCTTAACGGCATTTTACTTTATTCACTTTCCGGTATAAATCGAGCTGCCCCTTTTTTGTGTAGTCAGGCAAAGAACAAAGGAGAGGCATATCCAACAAAGTTGCACGAGATGTGGTCGATCTCGTGTCACATCGCCGAACGCCCCGTCACTCAAAATAGCTTAACTAAATCTAGAACCTATTGGATAGAGTTATTGCTCGGCGGGCCATGCTCCCACGCACGCTCGACCCCGCCCGCCACCGCCTCCCACCACCGTCCACAGCCGCTAGCGACATGCTGCCTCGCTCGCCCTCTGCCCCCGCCCGTCGACCCCGCTCTCCGCTAATCTGGTGCCTCACCCATCAACTGGCCGCTGACGAGACTCCCCCACCCTTGCTCCGGCTAAACCACCGCCTCCACCACCATAGCCGGGCCAACCTGCCGCTGAGATCTAGAGCCGAGGGAGACAGCTAAACCCTAACCCGCCTCCAGTGGAGGCAGTGACGTCGGTGGGACGGTCGCACGGTGTCGCAAGCACGCGATCGTCACGTGTTAGTTTGCAAAACCTATCTGTGAGGAGACACGCGACCAACTCCCTCCGGAACACCAATTCTAATCCTTCTCTAAACCGCATCGTAGACGACATGTACATATCTTATATGGACAATGCTATGGTACTCCCTTTACTTGTAGCACAAATAAATCTACGCTGTTAATTTTGAAGATTTATAGGAAAATAAAAAATATTAGCAAATCTTCTCCACCCCGTCACCCACGAACTCAAGATCACGGGAGACAAATCCGGGCCATAAGCCAAGGGCAGCGAGGCGGCCCCTTCCTTTTCCGTGCATGCGACCCGTATATTTCATCCATTATTATCTCCTATATATAAAAGGTAATATGTGATTATAAACCACCGATCAAAATAAATGAATGGTTCATAATTATTTAACTATGTATCTATATCTATATCTATATCTATACCTACCTTAATAATAAAGAGTCAAAATTTCAGATCAATTTTTTGTCCATCCATTTTTTTTTTGTCCGTCTTTCCCTAACTAACTCTGTGAATATGAAAATTATCTTTGTTCGTCTCTCTACAACTCTGTTTTATATATAGCATATGTAGGACGTTTTGAGGTGACTTAGATAACTAGGAATCGTAATCTAGACTAATGTGAATAGGAGTCCTAATTCAACTAGGAAAAAAAAAGCTTCTATCTACTATTTACGTTTACACATATACACATATATATACACATAAATATTACACGCCTATATATTCGATCACGAGGCGTTTAATTTCACAACAATACAGACAGCACGAAGGCTGCGAGCATGACTCCCATGGCAGAGCGGGGCACAGCGCCGACGTCGATCTCGATGATGAAGCGGCATGTCCTGGTGGATGGGTTGATATATGGAGGTGGTGGTGGCGAGGCCATAGAAGTCGCAGGCGCGGTCGTCCTGGACTCCTGGTCCATTGTCTGGTAGTAGATGTCTTAGTCGTTGGAGATGTTGCCCTTGGCGTCGAGGCCACCGCAGAAGGTCCTGTAGCCGAGGCTGGTGCAGTCGGCGAGGCTGCACGCGTAGCTGACGCTGTCGTCCACCTTCTGGTCGGTGAGGTTGGCCGACAGTTTGAGCACCCACGACTTCCTGTCCAGGTACTTGACGCCCTTGGCCGGCTTCAGCGTGGAGCCCAGCCGTTGCCGCCGACGAGGCTGAGCGGGTACTTGGGCGTGCCGTCATAGTAGATCGTCCCAGTGGCGCTCGAAGTTGCTCGGCTGGATGCTCTTGCGGTCCTCGTCGATGAGGCTGAAGAGGTAGGCGTCGACAGGCCCGGGCGTAGCGGCGTGCCCTGGCCGGAGGCGATGCGCACGGTAGAGGAAGCCCTGGTTGAACCGCCGCGCGTAGTCCAGGTTGGCGTTGGCATCGCCGTCGGTGGGCCAGCCCAACTCACCCACGATGACAGACACGTTTCCGAAGCCGTTCCGGGGAAGTGCGGTCACGAGCTTGTCGTGGTTGGCACCGAAGGTGTT